GATCTACCCTACCTGATCAAGTGTGGTATTCCTACTCGACTTTCTACCTGATTAATCAGATAGAAAGTCGAATAGGAAATCGGGTAAACATTTTTATAGTTATTATTTTTTGGATTATTTTAACAATTTAATTAAATAACATACATCAATTTAACAACACAATAAATCAATAACACTAAAATCTAAAACAACTACAACGACAATTACAATAAAACATAAAAAAGCCTGAACATCAATTCATCATAATTGTTACACAAATACAAACAATTATTTTAATTTTAAATCATATGAAACACATTAAAATCATAAATGCTCCAATAGTTCACTAGTTCACCACAAATCATGTAACATACACAAAATAAAAGTCTATATTTTCGCAACTCAAACATCCACAATAATAACAATGTTATAATATAAATTATACCACACAAATACTCTTATAATTACTAAAAAAATTATAAAAAAGTTAAATATAATTTTTGCAGGTAGGATATGGTAGGAATGCGAAAATTGATAGGTATTCCGTATTCTTATCCGATTTAATCGGAAGACCAAAAAATCTTCTGCATTTCTACCCGATTTTTGTGGCTAACCATTCAATAAAGTAGTGTAAGATAGGGTCAACCAAGAAAGAAAATTACTGTCAATCAAATATTTGAACACTAGTGGCCAGTGGAGCTAAGTTACGTGAATAAAGGTAGGAGAGAAGGGATTGAGAGGCATGGCAATTCTGTCCTATGGTGTTGTATTTACGTCGTGTCATTATGGGTTTGTATTAAGTATTAATTATATTAATTTAATTTATTTAACTAATTATATCGTGTCGATTTGATTTATTTATTTTCATACAATGTTCGTGTTGACACGTATAACTTGTGAATAAAAAATTTAATGCTAAAATTTAAATTTAAAATTCTATTATTACTTAATTGTATTTATGTTCATACTTTCCAAATAAACTAAAAATTAACTTAATAAATATAACAATAAAAAAATTACTAAAAATATCTTTTTTATCCAATAATTATGTCTAAACAATAACAAATAAGTGACATTTTATTCCTATAGTACTAGTTAAACGTGTTAATTTCGTATTATTCGTATTTGACACCATTTAATTCATTTATTATTTGTATTAATGGATCGTGTCATTTATGAATTTTTGTTAAAAAATAATCAACCTGAACCTGTTAATTTTGTGATTTTTTTTATGTTGTGTCATAAATTATCACCCCTAAATTGAGGGTTGCAAATTCCGTACAAGTTACAAGTTATTGCATGTACAATGTATAATAGAGTGGGATTTAGGTCTAGAAAAACTTTGGATGTTGGGTGTTGGGTGTTGGCTTGGCCATCCAATATTAAATGGACTGCCACATTCACTTTGAATTGAATTCTTGGGCCATCCTTCCTTGTCCACTAAATGTGGCGTCGGCGATGAAAATTATTAGGATAAATAGCACTTTGCACTCTCAAAAATCAAAAAAAAATTTAATTTGTATTCTTAAAAATTAATTATTTTAAAGTGCATCCTCAATTAAATTAATTAGTAACAATGTGATTCCAATCATAACGTCAATTGCGATTTTTATCAAATTGATAGACACGTCAGACATACGTGAAAAGGGAAAGAATCATTATCTAACAAGTCGTCACATGTATTTCACGTGACTTTAAATTTGACAAAAATCGCAATTCTAGTTATAAATGTCCATGACGATTTTTATTAGGTTGACAGGCCCGTGAGAAGCACATGAAAAGGGAAACGTCATAATCCGATAAAAGTCATCAGGTGCTTCTAACGTGGTTGACAATATGATGAAAATTGCAACGAACGTTATTATTAGGGTCACATTGCTACTAATTTATTTAATTAATGGTGCAATTTAAAATAATTGAACTTTGAAGGTGCAAATTAATTTTTTTTAAATCTTTCGGAGTGTTAAATGCTATTTTTCCAAATTATTAACAATGTAAGAACCAATAAAGTTAATTCTTATTCCTTTTGATTATTTTTTTTTTGAACAGGAAAGTAAAATTTCATTAAAAAACCGAATTAAGGTTACAATCAATAGAAAGTACACGTCTCAACTCCGTGGGAGGGTTAAAAACCCAGCCTACCGGAAGTGAAGAAGACATTCTCGTTTTGGCCACCCAATGGGCTGCCTTGTTTGCTATACGAGGATTATGTACCAAACTAAGTCTAAGGTTGTTAGAAATCACTTTGATATCTTCCACCAAAGATGCAATCTCCCACAGAGGAGCATCCTCCCTAGTGCACAATGAGATCAGAACTTGTGAATCACTCCCCACAATAGCCTCAGACCTCTGTAGAGCCGAAAGCCGCATGCAAGCTTCACGCAAGGCCAATGCTTCCGAATAAAGACTAGACACAAAAGGAGACTGCAGTGTTAATCCATCTAAGACTGCACCTGTGTGGTCCCTGATAACCACACCTATTGCTGATTGTTTCATCCTCTCATTAAAAGCTCCATCGCAGTTCGCCTTTAACAAGCCAGTGGGAGGTCTTAGCCAGTTGGCTAGGACTGGATGGTCCAGAGTTGGGGGAAGGCACTGCTAATTCCGAACAGAATATTGAGAGATGATCTCTTCTCAATCGAATTGCACTCTTTTTAGTGCGATTGCTGGATTGGGGAGAGCCGATTGAAAGATAACATCATTCCTCAGTCTCCAAATAGACCACCCAATAAACGCAACTTTACTAAGAACCTCCATCGCTTGGTGAAAAGAGTTCAGATTCTCCACTAAATTGGATGTCCAAAATTTCGCAAAAACAATATTCTGGCTCTCCATTCTTAGGGTCAAGTCTGACTTAAACCAAACTTTATGTGTCCATTCGCAACCAAATAAAAGGTGCTTTATTGTTTCAACCTTATTTCCACAGATCTGGCAGAGTGGGGAGGAGCTTCATTTTCTTCTATAGAATTTCTCTTTCATCTCGAGAGCATTTGAACATACCCTCCACCAAAAGTGTCTTACCTTTGGTGTTGTTTTCATACTCCAAAATGATGTTCCACAAATTAGGATGTAGCCGTGAGGAGGAACTGCTCCCCTGAAGAGCAGTGGAAGTCTTCGTCCTCCTTGCCTCCTTATAGCTTGATTTTACTGTATATTGACCCCTAGCATCGAAATGTCATATCCTCTTATCCAGCCCCCTCATTTTCGAGACTGGAATAGATGTGACAGCTCGTCGTTCTTCTGCAGTGGTAAACTTCCCGAGAGAATTTAAATCCCAACACTTTGATGCCTGGTTAATTACATCCTTAACAAGCTCAATGTTACAGTTCCAAGGCTTAGGCGAGATAACTAAGAATCCAAACAGGGTCGGGATCCATCTATCATTTCAGAATTTAATCTGCTCCCCATTACTTACCTGTCATCTAAGACCTTTAGCTAGCAATTCTCTTCCCCTCAATAGGTTGCTCCACATCCAAGACGGTCTTGTTCCTCTTCTAGCCTCCATGAAGTCCAAATTCGAAAAATATATCGCTCTCAGAATTCAAGCCCAAAAGGAATTTCGACTTTGTATTAGTCGCCAGAATTGCTTAGCCAATAGTGCCAAATTAAAACAATGGAAATCTATGAAACCCATACCCCCTGACACCTTTGGTAATGTCATGCCATCCCAGCACTTCCACGGAATTCCACTAGTCTCTGAATTCCGACCCCACTAGAAACGTTGAACACACTGAGTCAATTTATCACACAATTTATGTGGGAAAATTAAACACGACATTGCAAAATTGGGAATAGCCTGAACAACCGATTTAACAAGAACCTCTTTCCCCACCTGGGAAAGGTAGACTTCATTCCACCCTTGGATTTTCTTCATGACCCTCTCTAATAAATTATTAAAAGTTTCAGCTTTTGATCTTCCTCACATAGTAGGCAGACCTAGGTATTTTGTATTGTCTAGGAGAGCTTCAATTTCCATCAACTGGCTCATGGTACTCCTCAGATCCTCTGATGAATTTGAAGAGAAAAGAATTCCAGACTTGCTGAGATTAATGAGTTGTTCTGTCGCTTCGCAATACCTTTGCAAGATCAGCTTCAGCTTGGTCCCATCCTGTTTTCTAGCCCTAAGGAAAAAGAGAGAGTCATCAGCGAAAAACAAATGGGATAGTATGGGACTTCTCTGACAAATTCTCCAAGGTTTGATTGACCCCTCGAACTCCTCTTTCTGAACCATCCTTGAGAGAACATCAGCCACAAAAGAAAGAGATAAGGGGACAGCGGATCGCCCTGACGGAGACCCCATTGAGGAGTCACCTCGCACCTAGACTCCCCGTTGATGATCACCTCAAATTTGAATGTGCAGACACATTGTATAATGAGATTTATCCATCTTAGAGAAAATCCCAATGTTTGCAAGATTGATTCCAGAAAATCCCATTCAACCCAATCATAGGCATTGTTCAGATCAAGCTTGATGGCCATGGATGGAGATTTGCCTCTCTTGTTTATCTTTAGTGTGTGGAAGGCTTCATTTGCAACCAATATACTGTCTTGGATGTGTCTTTGGGGAACAAAGGCTGCTTGATTAGGCGTCACTAGGTGATGGAGAAATTTCTTTAGTCTATTAGTCAGCACCTTTGAGGTAATCTTGTATACGAAGTTACACAGTGTTATAGGCCGAAATTGGTAAGTCAAAACATATGAAGACAATGCTGGCCTAAATACAATGACTTTCCTTGCCTACCACATTATATATACAATCCCACCCACCCTCTCTCTCAATGGAGGAACCACTTCCATCTTAGTTCTCTCTCAATCTTCTCCCTCTCCCAACCTCTCGCCCAATTCAGAAAAAAAAATGTTGGGAAAGATGGGTTCAGTGAAGAAACTAGCCAAGTAGGTGAAGTTCGATCGGGAGTCATCGCAACATGAGTGTTTGCCTTGGGAGAAAGAAATGCAATCGCCTTCCGCAGCCCCAACTGGGTTTTTTGGCAATCTATGTTGGAGAGGAGAGATGACGATTCATGGTGCCAACCAGGTACCTCTCTCATCCTCTATTCAAAATAATGTTAGAGAAGGCATACGACGAGTTCGGGTCTGAGCAAAGTAATGGGCTAGTGGTTCCATTTAGTGTTACTACTTTCCAAGAGGTGGTAAATGCTGTGGAGTGCTGCAATGGAAGGTTTGATTTTCGAAATTTGGTTGATGAGTTTATTTAGGTAACAAAGATATATGGCAGTATATTTTGATCACTCCTAAGTGCTTTGGGAGTAATGATCTCATTGTGTTCTGGAGTATTAGTTCCATGAATTCATGTACTGGAACATTAAATGTATACTCTTCAATGCAGATTTGGATCAGTTTGGAACAAATTGATCAGAGAGAGAGAGAGAAATTGCATTACTTTTGGTTAAAACAGATGTTGCAAACAACCCACAAATCTAAAGTGTCATCGATAGAATCTCCTTAAGAAAAACTAGCTGGCACTCTCCACATAGTTACTGCCATTTACAAGAATTCTCTTCATCTCATCAATCAGCTCTAGCATATGTTCCCTCGAATGTAGTGGTGATGGATGTACACATATACAAATGCACAATCTAATTCCCCATCCCGTATCGTGTCAAATATAGCAATTGATGGGCCTACACTATGAACAGAAGCACACCCTATATAGTCCTCCACTCCAATCTCTTGATGCAATTATCCAGGGTTATCAATGGCCTTGACCATGAGAAAGATAAGGTCATTCATGTCCCAGAAATGCTTCTAATTATTTTTAGCATTTGCAAATGACATGTAGGTTCACTTTGCCAGCTCCCAAAGGTTTTCCCCTTCTTTTATGTCATGTGTATTCATGATAGCAGAATGGTAAAACCCTGCATCATTTAGGGACATCATGTTGAGTACATCAATTCTTCGTGACAAAAAATATTTACAAAGATTGAAATTGAGAGGAAGCAAATTGAGAGGAGTAATGAATTGCTGGTCAATAAGGGAAGAAGAAGAAGAACAAAGATGGTCAATAGGACTTCATGCCATAAATATAACCCCCACACCAACTCACAGTATAAACACGTGCATATTGACAACTTAATACCTTATTATTGAGTGAAACAAACTCTAACTAGGAAACTAAAAAATAATCTACTTAGTAAAACTAAGTAATTAATAATGTGCTATTTGAGATGTGGGACACTTGGAGGCTTACCAAAATTGCGGCAACTAAGAACAGGATGAAGCATGGAACGACAATCAGTGAGTGTTACGACTGCATACTTCTGCCATTGGTCAGGAAGACAATTACTGGAATGAGCTGCAATCAATCCGGCAGCTGCCAAGAGCCCGCATAACTTGATTCCCCTTGATTTGCAGCACTGCAAAATTTACACCAATCTAAGACTCTCAACAATAGCAGATAATGGCTATTAAAGCATCAAATCATAAAATATCCCCTCTAACCAGTAAATTTATAATTCTCAATCCCCCAGACATTATTATATACACCTATCTATGTATGCATGCATCGTACATATGTACATAATGTTTGATAAACCTGCATTTTATCTCCTTGTGACTTGGTCAAGTTTCACCTCAGATTTGCTCTTCCCATGCTCAGAAAATATGTAGTTGATTTCGTTTGAGCTATGGCTGAAGTACAACTATCAGTCTTTTAATTAAAACTAAAAGCAAACATCTAACATCAACTGCTTGGCTAAATATAATGAGTCAACATGACCTGATATCTTCTTGAAAATTGATAGTTTCCTTTCTTTTTGGAGGTAAAAAATAGATTTTCACCAACTTTTTCAAGAGACTATATTCATGCAGTGAGAGATTGTGCAAGTTGAGTAGCAATTAAGAAAAGTCGGGAAAAAACACAAAATATAAATTCTTTTGTATTTGGAGGCTCCTCTCTCACCCTTGTGAGTTGTGACTAAATGACTAGTTCATCAACACAAGGACTTAAATGCATATTTCCATATTTTAAATACAACTCCGTCAAATCACATAGAGGTAGAATAATATGATCTCTCGAAACTTGTTAATATTGAAGACAACTCAATCCCTCCCTCCCACCCAAAATAGAAGATTAAGAAAGATCAAACAGAAAAGATAGTGAAACCTGTATGATTTACCCTGAAATAATTCATTGTGATCTTAAGTCTATGGTCCATATGTGTACTGGTCCCATCCCATGGATTTTTGCTTGGGTGCATCTAATTGTGACGGAAAAGACAAAGCAAACTAAGGAAGGTTATCCCTACATGCATATAAAAGGTCAATGAATACTCGAGTCAGGACAAACAGTGACAATGAGTGATTCCTTCTCTGCCGAGTGCCAACTAAAGGTGGGTCAACTTCATAATTTTGTTTTCTTTCCCATGTCTCTTAAGTTTTGGATTTTAAACTACTTGCTATCACTGTTATACCAGTAAGCTAATGAGATGAATTCCAACTTCTCTAATGTCATATAACTTCATATTAAACCACTAGGTAGAACCATAGAAGTACGATTTGAATTGGAGGTAGTTATTATTTGAATGTAGTGCTGCAATGGAAGATGCTCCATAGGATCGATGAAGGTTAGAATCCATTATACAACTGAATTTTCCCAAAGTTTCAAATATTGATTACCCATTAATGAAATTGAAGAAATTCTGTATTGGACCAGATCTAGAAATATAGTCCCCTTACCAATGAGGCAAACAGGAACAAATTCACTCTAGGAAACAGATAACAGTTAGGCAATCAACACAAAAATTTCATGGTTTTGACAAGTATTACCTCTAAAATGTCTTAGAAAATTGGTTTGCACAAGTTTGTAATTGATAGTAGCATTTCTAACTTGTGACCAGATAGCATTCTAGATGGGTCATGTTAGGTTTGTGTACAATAGGATTAGTGTCGTCTATAACCAGATTCATATCATTACTTCTTTTTTTTATAATGTTGACGGAGATCAACCCCATTGTGATCCATATGAGGTAATTTCGCGCCAATTTCATATGAGTTAAACATTGTGTCAAGAATTGTTGGTGTAATGACTTGGTTGAAGAAATTTACCAAGGACAAAGAAATCCCACTTACCAAAAGAATTCGATCAGTATCATCCGAATTCAGCTGTAGCTTCACTACTTGTGATGATCTAGGCGAGTCAATGCCCTTGAAATTCAAGTTTGCCAACCTCAAAGAATTCAATGAGTACCCAAGCATGTCCACTCCGTGAGCCCAAAATGGTTTATTAGCTTTCCCAGGGGGAATATAATCCTCAATTCCCAAACCAACCTCCATTTCCTCTTCTACTTCCCTCTTTAACTCCAACTCTTCCTTCTTTCCCTCACCTATCAGACCCAACAACTCCCTCGGCAATGAAACTGCCGAGGTCTGGTCACACGCCGACGTGTGAAGCCGGAGCATCGCAGCCCATCTGTCATCACTTAGAGTGTACACACTGTACACACTCGCAAAGAACACGTCAATTTGAGAGTCCAACGAATCGTTGTTAGCACACCAGGTGTTTGTATTAATTTCGCGCCCAAGAATAAGGTGGAAGTGAGACATGAGGGGGGGGTTTGTGGGGGGTTTGTTAGGATTGATTAGTCCTTGTAGGATGTCAGATGTTGATAGAAGATCGAAGAGTTGGTAGCGGTATTGTAATAGCAGATCAGTATCAGCTGTACCCTTAGGAGCAGATCAGTATCAGCTGTGCCCTTGGCCTTAGGAGTCTGTTATGACTCAGTCATATTTGCTATTATTTAAACTTTATTGACTGTATACTTCCAGTTGTATTTCTCCTAGTATATAGGATCTGTAACAACTTCATTAGCTCTCAGTTGTAATCATCCTCTGTATATATTCAGCTATTGGTTTAATAAAAAACAAGGAGGCAAAAGCCTATTCATTCTTCATTCTGTCATGGTATCAGAGCATAAGTGCTAGTCCATTTTTTTTTTTTTTTCCTTTCCTTCCTGCCTTCAGTCTCCTCTCTCGCCACAATGGCCACAACTCCTTCTGAAACCACCTTTCAAAACACCAATGACAGTCATAATACACTCATCACCATCAACGTAGCTGCCCAAACTCCTCTTAAACTCACATCCAGTAACTATCTATCTTGAAAATTACAGTTTCACACCCTCTTCATTGGGTATGACCTCCTAGGCTATGTTGATGGAACAAAACCATGTCCCACCGCCCCCATCACTCAAAATACCACCACCTGCTCCAATCCAGCATTTACTCTCTGGATTAGACAAGACCAGCTCATCCTCAATGCCCTCATCGGCTCCCTCTCCCCAACTATCATTCCCTTCATTGCTCAATCCAAAACTTCTTGTGAAGCATGGAATACCTTGGCCAACACATACGCCAACCCATCTCGCGGACGCATCAAGCAAGTTAAAACCACTCTAAAGAAACTCACCAAAGGTTCTGAAAGTATCTCAGAATTTATGCAGAACATCAAAGTCCTATCTGATGAACTCGTCCTTCTTGGTCATATTGTGGCGGAGTTTGGAGTTGAGGATTGGGTGGGACTTCTGGAGTTGGTGAATGGCGTTTTGGAGGAGTGATAAATCAATTGGTTTTGAGATGAGGAGGGCGAAGACAGTTATGCCAGTGCCGCCGGCGACGGCGACGGCTTTGAACCAATTGTACTCGGTCAGTCCCACCGGTCGGCACTTGGGTTCCGACATGAGTGTCGTAATGTGAGAGAGAGAGAGAGAGAGAGAGGATTGAACAAAAGAATGTTGGAGTGAACAAAAGAATTTTGGGTAAATTTCGCTGATGCCCCTACATTTGTCATATTTCAATGATACCTCCTTTAATTTTTAAAAATATCACGACAAACCCCTATAGTTTATACACACGTTTCACAAACTAACTACCTCTAATGTGAAATGATGGTTTATTCTCTTATAAATTGCCAAATTTACCCTTAGACATATAAAATAAGTTTAAAATAATAGCAAACATTCTTTTAATATTAATTTAATTAAATTAAATGTTAATTGGATTAAATAGAATATTTTCTATAAAAAAAATGAATCAAACAAAATGTTAATTTGGTGTTGATTTTAAAAAATAATATTAATTCGATAAAACTAAATATTAAATTCAAAAAATTAAATGTTAATTTTATAAAATTGAATGACCATTTGGTATTGATTTGATGAAATTAAATATTAATTTAAAATCAAGCAAAAAAAATGATGGTAGTTTGATAAATTGGAAGTTAAATTGATAAAATTAAATGCTAATTTAGAGTTAATTTGATGAAAATGAATATCAATTTCATGTTAATTTGGTAAAATTTTGTATTAATTCGATAAAATTTAATATTAATTTGATAAAATTGATAGTTAATTTGTTGTTAAATAGATAAAATTGAATATTAATTTGATAGTTAATTTGATGAATTTTAATGTGACTTTGATAAAATTGAATGTTAATTTGGTGTTAATTTCATGAAATTAAATATAATTTTGGTATGAGGTTAATAAAATTGAATGTTAATTGGATGAATTAAATGTTAATTCGATGAATGTAAATGTTAATTTGGCAAAATTTTGATGTTAATTTGATAAAATTTAATGTTAATTTAGTGTTAATTTGATCAAATTAAATATTAATCAAATAAAATTAAATGTCAATTTGATGTTGATTTGATAAAATTGTAAATTATTTTTGTATTAATTTGAGTAAGGATAATTAAGTAAAATAGGAGTTCTAGTAAGGGTGTGTTTGATAACCTAACTTAAGTCTTAAAACTGAACACTTTCGGTGCTTAATAAATTAAACTCATTTGATAACTCAATATTACAACTCCTTAATAAAATAAGTGCCACATAAATGCAGGGCAAAATTTTAAGGAGCTCTATGCCTACTTAATATTGAAGACTAAATACGCTCAACAATTAAGTTTTTTAATAAAATTTTATTTGACAAATTTACCCTAATAGTTTTACAACCCTATCACATATCTCCTTCATCGCCTTTGCGTCTTATCCACAATCTCTACCTTCTTTGTTGCCTCTGCCAGCGCCATCCAACAAACCCATGTATGTTATTCTTATCTTCTTCCTCCATTCTTCCTCTTTTCTTCTTGCTCCATTCTTCCTCTTTTCTTCTTGATACAACACACACAAGCAGTAACGTGAACGAACAAACGTGAACCAATAGACAAAAATCCACCGACTGCCCAATCGAGAAAAAAAATAATTTCATTAACTACCCAACCAGCAAGGCAACCGAGAAAAAAAAAATTTCAATCCTCCTCACCGACAAACAACACAAACATCCACTGCCCATCACTAACAGCCTCACCCACAAACACACATATGTAAATTTGCATCTTGAGGACCACTGAGAATGTAGAAATTCAAAGGAATTGATCTAACTACATGAAGGATGCAAAGAACAATTTGGGTCAATAAGTTTCAATTATTTAGTCTGAATAGTAGGACAATTTTTCAAGGCATGTAATTAATGCTTTTCTTATCCATCAATTACACCTTTATCTTTAGATTTTTTTGAGTTCTCCAAGGAATTTACTCCTACAAAATACTTGCAACAACAGTCTATCAGAGGATGACTTTTGATACTTTATTTTTTCATACTATATTTGTTCTGGTATATTTTCCAATGAAATCAAGATTTATGACTCACTTGTTGTGGATTTGAAATAGTATTTAATATGGTGTAGATCATAGTTATAAGTGATACTTTTACTTAGTTTTTTCAAACTTGTTCCTTTTAATTAAAGGTTTACAAGTACCCCCAGTTTGATAAGAATTATTTTATTTCTCTTGTAACTAGAGGTGGTAATATTTACCCATTATTCATTAATATGTCTAACCGGTCCAGAAAAAAATGAGTTAAATACTTACACTAATTAATGCGGATTCTAAATGAGTTGGATAATATGATTAATTTTAATTAAGCAAATTAAGATGTATTACAAATAGGTACCTATTAGATTGAGTATTTATCTTTTTTATTAAATAACACAAGTACTAAAATCAAATAAATATACAAATATACCACACTAATACACAAAAAAATATACACTAATACATTAAAACACACACTAGCACACCATTACCCATGACTCATGAACTGACCTATGACCCCATGCTTGCGGGTGACCCATGACCCGTGGACTAATCCATGACCCGTGGTTCGTGGATCAACACACAACCCATGGTCCATAGTCGACTCGACCCATTATATGTGTATTTTGGTTTTTTATTAAAAGTATTTTTGTTTTTTGTATGTTAGTATATATGTATATTTTTTTGTGTATTAATGTGTGTATTTTTAGTATATTAGTCTATGTGTGTGTTTTAGTATATTAGTGCATATTAATGTGTATGTGTGTTTTGGTGTACTAACGTGTGTTTATTAAGAAGTCTAATTATTTTATGAGTTAATGAGTTTAACCTAATCCGTTATAAATTCAACCTATTATAACTCATTTAATATGTGAGTGAAAAATATATTGAATTTATTTGAACTCAGTTCATGACCAACCTAACTCATTCATTTGTCACCTCTATTTGCAACTGATGTTTATGCTATCTTATTGGAAAAATTATACTCGAATCCTCTAAAATTTGTTACTAAATCTCTTAGTTCTTGATATTTGAAATATTACACACAGACTCTCTAAAGTTTATATTCGTATAACACTTAGATCCTTGTCATCCGTTAATATATCTATTAGTAAATTACACCCAGACCCCTTAAAGTTTGTAGGGGTATAATATTTAGACCCCTCAAATTTAAAATGATATGCTTAGACTAAAAATATTCTAATCAAAGATAGAATATCAAATATTTTAAATTTTATAACTAAGATTCATGTTCTATTGTATTATTTATTAAAATAAAATCAAAAATAAAAAGTCAATTTTTTCTTATAAAATCGTAATTAGTATACAGTTATACTATCTATTGAAATAAAACTAAATAATCAAACAAAGGATCTAAGTCATTCATAATAGAACATAAATTTTACAACAAAAATTCATATTTTATTATGTCATTTATTGAAATAAAATCAAAAATTTTAATTTAAATCTAAATTTTTTCTTTAAAAAATCATAATTAGTATACAATTATATTATCTATTGGAATAAAACTAAAAAATCAAACAAAATTACAATCTAAATTTTTACAACCAAAATTCATATTTTATTATGTCATTTATTGAAATAAAATCAAAAATAATAATTTAATTTTTTCTTAAAAAATTATAATTAATATACAATTATACTATATTTTGAAATAAAACTAAAAGATCAAACTATAATGCACACAACATATTCTAAATTTAATTGGGTTAATTTGGACATTTAAACTACCAAATTAAATTCCAATAGATAATATAATTGTATAATAATTATAATTTTTTAAGAAAAAATAAATTTTTAATTTTAATTTTATTTAATAATGTCATAGTAGAATATGAATTTTAGTTATAAAATTTAAATTATTTGATATTCTATCTTTGATTAGAGTATTTTAGTCTAAATATAACATTTTAAACTTGAAAGGTCTAATTATTATACCCACAAATTTCAGAGGATCTAGATGTAATTTACTATTTGATATTGACAGCAGGGACCTAAGTGTTATGCTTGTACAAATTTTAGAGGATCTGTGTGTAATATTTTAAATATCAAAGATCTGAGTGATTAAGTGATAAACTTGAAAGAGTCTAAATATAATTCTCCCTATCTTATTTGAATAACTTTTGTTAAAGGTTTAATCTGCCAAAAAATATATTTTCACATACGATAATTAAATGTCCAAGAAAATTCCTTGACATTTTTTCTCATAGTAAATTGACTTTATTTCCTTGTAATATTCACATATTATATATAAAACTAAATTGAAAGAAAAGAATTTATCGGGGTGAAAAATTGGATGTGCCTTTAGTTTTAAGTACCGGGATGATCGACATTCACCTTTAAACCTCACGGCTCCATGTTGGATAATTGCGAATATAATTTTGGCAAGAATATTTCTAAACGACTCTAAATAAAACTAATTGTTATAGTCGAGATCATTCCAACAATAAGTTATTTGGATTTTTTCACTATTTTGTTTCGATCCTAATGAAAAGGAAACCATTTTGATCAGTTTAAAAATAAAATTTTGAGCCCTCCAAACAAACATAGTCACTAAACATGTTAAATAAATAAATATATACAAAATATCAATAGACTAAAAATAATTCATACATAGTACAAATTTACCAAATAAATCAAATATAAACAAAATAAATTTTAAAATAATATGAGCTAATAGTTTAATTAAATTATTTATTTGATTATTGTTATTTTAAAATTTATTTACCTAAATATAGTCATTTTAAATTAATATTTTAAATTGTCCAGCTCACTCTAAAATTCAGCTCAAATTCGCACCAAATCTCCCCCAAATTCTCTCTCATATGTCCTCCCCCTTACCACTCTCTCTCGTCTCACCCACCACCAGCCGGCTTCCTGGAACCCACCCGCCTCCTTTGTCCAACTCACTCTAAAATTCAGCTTAAATTCACTCCAAATTTCCCCCAAATTCTTTCTCTCACATCTCCTCCCCCTACCAAATTGCCCACAACTCTCTCTCCTCTCACCCACCACCAGCCGCCTTCATTTCTCTCTCCAAAACGCGCCGGAAAACCCTTAACTCACCATAACTTAAAGTCGTAAACCTCACTAATACTTGTTAAACTCGCAGAACTACCCAATTTTCGGCTACCACCGACGACTTTGAACCTTTGGTCCACGACGGACGGCCATAGTTCAATGATGGAAGGTTTTATGTCTTCCGATCTGACGCCGTTTTGGCCATCAACACCATCACCTCCACCAGCATCTCCACAATCTTCCTCTGCTTCAAATACAATCGACCCTTCAAAGAAACCCTTCAACAGCGCCTTCAAACTGTAATCTATGGTGCCCAAGGGAGCTGGACCTACGCGATATTTTGGCAAGCTTCGCCCGTTTACTACGCTGGTCCATCGTTGTTAAGCTGGGGTGACGGGTACTACGAAGGCGAAGAAGACAAGGGCAAGCGCAACACGGTGTCGTCTGCTGAACAAGAGCACCGGAAAGAGGTCCTCCGTCAGCTCAATTCTCTTATTTCCGGCCAACAAGCACCGACTGATGAAGCCGTCGATGAAGAAGTTACAGACACCGAGTGGTTTTCTTGGTTTCAATGACTCAGTCTTTCGTTAACGGATGTGGACTTCCCGGCCAAGCCTTTTTCAGTTCGTCGCCGGTTTGGCTTGCCGGCGCAGACAGACTCGCCGACTCGCACTGTGAGCGAGCCCGGCAAGCCCAAGTGTTTGGATTTCAGACTTTGGTTTGTATACCGTTCTCAGATGGCGTGGTGGAGCTGGGTTCAACAAAATTGATATTTCAGGTCTCGGATCTCATGAATAAGGTTAGGGTTTTGTTGAATTTTAACAGTACAGAAATGGGATCGGGATCGGAATCGGAATCGGAATCGGAATCGTGGTCTATGCCAACGGAGCACGGCGAGAATGATCCGTCGGCGCGTTGGCTGACCGATCCTTCGTCGTCGGCCAAGGATTCTGTTAATACCGCTCCGGGAAATTCAATTTCTTCGCTTAGTCACCTTGTACGTCAATATTTGAGAACCAAAAAAAAAAAGAAAAAAAATTGAGAAACAATAACAAATAAGTGGCATTTTATTTCTGCAGTATTAATTAAATGTATTAATTTCGTATTGCTCGTCATTGATATTAATCGAATTTATTTTATTTCTGCAGTATTAATTAAACTCATTGTATGCTGGCCTAAATACAATGAGTTTCCTTGCCTACCACATTATATATACAATCCCGCCCCCCCCCCCCCCCTCTAAACTTGGGCACCACTTCTTTCTTAGTTCTCTCTCAATCTTCACCCTCTCCCAAACTCTCTCCCAATTCAGAAAAAAAAAATGTTGGGAAAGAAGATGGGTTCAGTGAAGAAACTAGCAAAGAAGGTGATGTTCGACCGCGAGTCCTCGCAATACGAGTGTTTGCCACGGGAGAGAGAATTGCAATTGCCTTCCGCGGCCCCAACTGGGTTTTTCTCCCTAGCTATGTTGGAGAGGAGAGACGACAATTCGTGGTGCCAACCAGGTACCGCTTTCATCCTCTATTAAAAATAATGTTAGAGAGGCCCTACGACGAGTTCGGGTTTGAGCAAAGTAATGGGCTAGTGGTTCCATTTAGTGTTACTGCTTTCCAAGAGGTGGTAAATGCTGTGGAGTGCTGCAATGGAAGGTTTGCTTTTGGAAATTTAGTTGATGAGTTTATTTAGGTAACAAAGATATACAGCAGTATATTTGACCACTCTTAAGTGCTTTGGGGGTAATGATCTCATTGTGTTCTGGAGTATTAGTTCCATGAGTTCATCTGCTGGAACATTAAATGTATAGACTTCAATGCAGATTTTGATCAGTTAGGAACAAATTGATCATGTATATATAGAGAGAGAAATTACATTACTCTTGGTTAAAACAGATGTTGAAACCAACCCACAAATCTACAGTGCCATCACTAGAATCTCATTAAGAAAAACTAGCTGTCACTCTCCACATGGTTACTGCCATTTACAAGAATTCTCTTCATGTCATCAATCAGCTCTAGCATCTGTTCCCTCGAATGTAGTGGTGATGGATATACACATGCACAATCTAATTCCCCATCTCGTATCGTGTCAAATATTGCGATTGATGGGCCTACACTATGAACAGAAGCACACCCTATGTAGTCCTCCAATCCAATCTCTTGATGCAATTCATCGGAATGGTCAATCACTGGGTCTTCAAACACCGATATGAGTGAAGTTCTTAATGATGACGACCGTGTTAATCCAGGGTTATCAATGGCCTTGACCATGAGAAAGTTAAGGTCATTCATGTCCCAGAAATGCTTCTGATTATTTTTAGCATTTGCAAATGACATGTAGGTTCTCTTTGCCAGCTCCCAAAGGTTTTCCCCTTCTTTTATGTCATGTGTATTCACGATAGCAGAATGGTAAAACCCTGCATCATTTAGGGACATCATGTTGAGTACATCAATTCTGTGTGACAACAAATATTTACAAAGTTTGAAATTGAGAGGATGCAAATTGAGAGGAGTCAATAAGGGAAGAAGAAGAAGAACAAACCTCCAAATTTTAGATGATCTACTTCATAGGACCTCATACCATAGATATAACTCCCACACCAACTCACAGTATAATCACATGCATATTATTATTGAGTGAAACAAACTCTAATTAGGAAACTGACAAGCAATCTACTTAGTAAAACTAATTAATTAATAATGTGCTATTTGAGATGTGGGACATTTGAAGACTTACCAAAATTGCGGCAACTAAGAACAGGATGAAGCATGGAACGACAATCAGTGAGTGTTACGACTGCATACTTCTGCCATTGGTCAGGAAGACAATTACTGGAATGAGCTGCAATCAATCCGGCAGCTGCCAAGAGCCCGCATAACTTGATCCCCCTTGATTTGCAGCCCTGTAAAATTTACACCAATCTAAGACTCTCAACAATCGCAGATAATGGCAATTAAAGCATCAAATCACAATCCCCACTAACTAGTTAATTTATAATTCTCAATCTTCCCAGACATTATTATATACACCTATCTATGTATGCATGCATTGTAGATATGTACATAATGTTTGATAAACCTGCATTTTATCTCCTTGTGATTTGGTCAAGTTTCACCTCAGATTTGCTCTTCCCATGCTCAGAAAATATGTAGTTGATTTCGTTTGAGCTATGGCTGAAGTACAACTATCAGTCTTTCAATTAAAACTAAAAGCAAACATCTAACATCAACTGCTTGGCTAAATATAATGAGTCAAAATGACCGGATCTTCTTGAAAATTGATAGTTTATTTTCTTTTTGGAGGTGAAAAATAGTTTTTCATCAACTTTTTCAAGAGACTATATTCATGCAGTGAGAGATTGTGCAAGTTGAGTAGCAACTAAGAAAAATTCTTTTGTATTTTCAGGCTCCTCTCTCACCCATGTGAGTTGTGACTAAATGACTAGTTCATCAACACAAGGACTTAAATGCATATTTCCATATTTTAAATACAACTCCGTCAAATCACAGAGTTAGAATAATATGATCTCTCGAAACTGGTTAATATTGAAGACAACTCAATCCCTCCCTCCCACCTTAGAAGATTAAGAAAGATCAAACAGAAAAGATAGGAAACCTGTATGATTTACCCGGAAATAATTCATTGTGATCCTATGTCTATGGTCCATATGTGTACTGGTCCCATCCCATGAACTTTTGCTTGGGTGCATCTAATTGTGACGAAAAGACAAAGCAAACTAAGGAAGCTTATCCCTACATGCATATAAAAGGTCAATGAATCAGGACAAAACAGTGACAATGAGAGATTACTTCTCTGCAAGTGCCAACTAAAGGTGGGGTCAACTTCATAATTTTGTTTTCTTTCCCAGGTCTCTAAATTTTGGATTTTAAACTACTTGCTATCACTGTTAACCAGAAAGCTAATGAGATGAATTCCAACTTCTCTAATGTCATATAACTTCAATTAAACCACTAGGTAGAACCATAGAAGTATGATTTGAATTGGAGGTAGTTATTATTGGAATGTAGTGCAGCAAGGGAAGATGCTCCA